TCTTTCCCTCTTAGATTCTAGCCTGGGCCCCTCTGCAAGCGACAGGAGCACCAGACTCCACACCTGCTCCACAAGACGCCTCCGCCACCACTTGGTTCCCCCTGACTGCAGCGCTTGCCCCAGGGGATGCCCTGGGACCCTCTCTGCCGCGTTGCTTTTCCATGTCTCTTACCTGGTGCCCGTGGTCAGATGGGAATCCGGGTAGAGCAGCTGCCCAGGGCTCAGCACGGCCCGAGCTGGAGGTCACAGCATCCATCCCTGAACAAACTCGAAGCTGTCTAGTCCTTGCTGCACTGCTGCCAGCTCAGGCATTGCATTTCCTTGCCAGCATCGCTCGCTCTGGGGTCTGCACGGGCTCAGACAAGGGAAGGCATGGTACCTCACACCTGGGTGGTATCTCATGCTCCCTGCTGCTCAGGAGCCAAGTTTTTCTCCGGCTCCATCCCAGCTCAACGGGGCATCCCAGCTGTGGGGCGGCTTGTACCCACCGCTTCCCCCTGCAATGATCCCCAAATCCTGGTAGTCAGAGCTTCTTTATCAGTCACTTCCCACAACCCAGAGAGGAACAGCCCCTGTCGAGCTGGGACCCCAGCTCGGAGGTTAGCGGTAGGGATGAGGCCAGTCTGAGCGGGGAGACGGGGGAACGTGGCTCTAGGGTGGGGAGGCTCCAGTGGCCAGCTCGGTTGTGGCAGTGGCAAAGCTGGGGGGACACGGGCAGGCTGGGAGCCTGCAGCAGGGAGATGCTGCAACCTGTGTTCTTTGATCCTCTGAATAAAATTCACAATACTGGAATCTACCTGGTAGGATCTTTGCCTTTGGGGTAGGGACCGGGACGAGCCCTGGGCCTGGGCTGGGACCAAGGGCAAAACCAGCTGAATCGGCCACGCAGGATGTGATATCCAGTGAGGATATGGGATGGCATGATGCCAGGACCACCTGTGTCCCCCTACCAGTGTTTTGCCAAGCCTCCTGTAGGGTCCCAGGAGGTATTTCTGGCCCCACGGTGCGGGATTCTTGCCCGGGGAGCCTGGGATTCAGGCAGGGAGAATGGGTTCACTCCAGAGGGAAGGGTTTTCTGCCCTCCATCCGTGATGCCCCCACCCTGCGCTGGAAGCGTTGCAGGGACAGGCAACTCCATCTCCATGTGGGCTCCCCCTCCATGGCAGTACACAGGGTGTCCCAGCCCTACAGACTGTGGGGAAGCATCCCCTGATGTGAGGGGCGGAGGAAGGAGCAGTTTCCATCCTCTCCAAACTGCTCTGAGCTGGAGGGACCCTAGGCAAGGCCCCAGGAGCCAGGTCTGCTGAGGACCGATTTCAGCAGACACTTCACTCGCATGCAGAGGGCACTCGAGCCAGCGCCCGTCCTCATCCCCTGCGGTGGGGCAGCTCCGTGCAGCCCTGGATTCCTGAGGAGTGACCGATGCTCCCCGCAGCCTCCGCGCCCCCCTCCACCCTGTCCGCCCGCCAGGGCCTTGTTTAGACACCGTCTGGAGCCTCTTCCCACTGAGATTTCCTCCTCCCGAGACCCGCACCCCGCCAGCCAGAGGGAAGCAGACCAAGAACTCCAGACATTTCCCCTCAGCCTGCAGCCAAAGCCGAGCGGCTCACCTCTCGCGGCAATGCCGACTGCTCCAGAGGCTCCTTTGCTGGTTCTCTCCTTGCTCCCGTCTTGTCCAGGGAGGCTGTCTTTTGTATCCCACCTCTCCTGGACTGCAAATCCACCCGGCTCCTAGCATCCTAACACCCACCAAAATAGACCCCTCTGCGGCCACAACCATGCACACATCTGGGAAGGCCTGCAGAGGTGCGCACACCATCCGTAATGCCACCCATGCAGGTTAGGTCCACAGCCCTTGCAGTAATCATGGCTTGAGTCCCCACGCTACCCCCTGCTTCAAGCTCACCCCAGCCCACACCCACTTCCCCGGTCGTGCTGACCCCAACGGAGCCGTGGCCCAGCTCCCCCGCCTCGCCTCGGCTAGCCCAGCTCCTCCAGCCCCGGGTCTCTGCTGCCATGATGCAAAGCATCAAATATCCGTGGTTTTTTTACCGATGGGAATCAAAGGGCAGCCTGGGCTGTGGGAAGACCTACAAAGGCACCTCGTGAGGAGGGGTTTTGGGCTTGGATATCGAGACCGAGGGCCTTGCAACCGATCTGAGACAGACCGCCACCTCGGAGACCTCCCAAATCCTAGATAACAAGGGTGACCAGCAGCTTTCATTTGCCCAGCCTCATGCACTGCAAACACCCGAGGGGAAGACGAGTGCTAGATGTGCAGAGTCCCTCTTCGTGCTGTGCCTCTGCAAATCAGACCCCCCCACAAAGCCCCCATGGCTTGCTTTACTAATAGTTCCCGTCAAAGATGGCCACTGTGAGCTGGGCACATCTCAGAGGCTTTTCTTGTCCCTTCGCCTTACTAAACCCCAGGTGGGGGGGGACAAGAAGGCTTCATTCGTGAGGCTGAAAGGCCTCCAGTCCTCACCAACCCCCAGCACCAGGGTGCGAGACGGACGGCGCAGGACTTCTCAGGGGTGTGCAAAGAGGAAGGGGGCAGAGCTCTCCCCAGCCCTCTCCTGGCTCACACCTACATGGGCCAGACTTCAGGATACGCGCAGTCTAGACGGGCCAAAGCAGCCGCAGACCCAAACCGACCAACCACGCCTCCAACCAGCTCCATTTCCTCCCCCAGCTCCAGCAGGCTGGCACGTCTACGGCCCTTTGTGCGCAGAGACTCCTCCGAGCCAGGCAGACCCGGCCCCAAAACCATCTCCCAAGCCCCCACCGTTGAGGGCAACCCAACGTCCCAATGGCATGCACCTCAAGGCCCACCAGCAGCTCCCATGCCACCCCCCAGATGCCCGGAGTCGGGCCGTGAGCGCAGAACAGGCCGGGGTGGAGGCTGGGGTGGCAAGGCCTCTCAGTTGGCTTGAGAGGTCCGTGTCCCCAGCTGCCCAGGCCGTGGCCATGTTTGCTTGCATCGCTCAGCAGGACAAGGCTGCAAAACAACCTCTCCCAAAGGAGCTGACTCAGGCGCACACACAGGGCTTGTTTAAGCCTGGGGCTCCGGGCCGGAGCAGCTGCAGCCACCGCCCCGCCTGGGCACCGCGGGCACGGAGGGGACCCAGACCTCTGAGGGAGTCGGGAGCCCCGGCAAATCATTATCAGGGGCTCGAGGAGGCGTAAAGAGGTGCTGAAGCAGCGCCAACCCATCCCAGCTGGCTCCCACTTGCTTCAGGTGGGCTGGTACCACCTTTTCTGCCACTGCTTTGCACCATCAGCCCCTCACCTCCGCCCAAGCCCATGGGGGTCCTTCTCCAAGGGCTGCGGCCACCGGGCTCCGGGTGCAGTCTTCTCCATGCACAGTTGAGGGAGGTTCAGCATGGGCAGTAAAGCAGACTGAAGCTCCTAGCACCCAGCTCCTCGGCACAGGCAGGGAAAGGCTTGGGAATGCGGCTACGAGCTTCTGCAAACACTGGGTCTCATCCTGGACAAGGGCAGGCGGCTACTGGGGTTCAGCCTTGTCTACGCTATGGAGCTGCTGCCATCACGACTCCAGAGGCGGATCCCCTGGGGCAATGATGGGAAGAGACTGCCCCTCATTGCAGCAGCTTGCTCCCCACAACTGCCCTGGATCCCCAGCAGGCATTTGTCCAGC